TTGAGCCCTTGGTATCAGCTCCTTATTTTTCCCCTCCCTCCTCACCCCCCGAATCTTACCTTCTTTACTACTTTTTATTATATTACTTGACTCAAATGTAGGGACTTCTAATATTATTTTGATGATATTTATGATCCTTACTCCAAAATTTAAGTATGGAATGAATTAACACTTACCTGGTGGTCCATATAATTCAACTTTATAGCTAAATTTTCCTGTTACTACCGCTGGTGGGTCACACGAAATGGAAAAAGATTTTCCTGTGATATTGCCTGTTATACAGTTTTGTGGCGGTCCTTCAGGCACTGAAACAATCATAGACAAATATAAACATGTATTAGAGATATATTTTAAATGGGATAGCATTATTTTTAAATACACAAAGTTGTTATTGCTGTTAGGTGCCATTGAATGGGTTCTGACTCAGAGCAACACTGTGTACAACTGCACTAGACACTACCCAGTCCTGACCATCCTCAAAATTGTTCTTACGTGTGAGCTCATTGTTGTACCCGCTGAGCCAATTCATCTTGTCAACGACCTTCCTCTTCCTTGCTACCCCTCTACTTTAACAAGCATGGTGTCCTTCTCCAGGGACTGGCCTCTCTAGTCCAATATCCAGTCGACATGTCCAAAGTTCATAAAACAAAGTCTTGCTATCCTTGCCACTAAGGAGCACTCTGGCCATACTTATTCCAAGGCAGATTTGTTTGTCCTTTTGGCAGTCCAGGGTACTTTCAATATTTTTCACCAGCACCATAATCCAATGCACCGATTCTTTGTTGGTTTTCCTTATTCAATGTCCAACTTTCACATGCATATGAAGTGAGTAAAAGTACATGTAGAAGAAGCCTCCGGGGATCTCTCTGCACATGGACCAGGGATGTGACTGGCCATGCTGCTGCAGAGTGCACTGGAAAGTGGATGATGGCAGGAGTAGCTAGGCTAAAAGCTAACACGTTATCCTTTGAACTCCCTTTTGACCCATTTTAAAGTTGTTCTACTTTTTCATATTTTCTGTTTTTCTTCAACTGAGGTTTTTCTCTATTTTTGCCTTTTGCTTTTGTTTGTTTGCTGGTATATGAAATCCAGGATGGGTGGTGAGTCTATAGAGACAGCCACTAGATTAAGGGTTCTTGGGGGTGCGGCAGGGGATGGTGGGGAGAAGTGAGGAGCTAATAAGAAGGAATAGAAGAAAGAAGAAAACGTTCTATAGTTGATTGTTATAGTTATATAAATCTTCTTGATATGATTTAACTATTGAATTATGATACATGGATTATGTCCCAATAAAATAGTTTTAAAAATAATAAATATTATGCTTTTAGAGTATTCTTACAGATGCTCTACATTTTTAAAAATAGAATTTTATTATTTTAATTGAAATGAAACAATTTCAAATACTGAATTTTTGTGTGTGTTTTGATTACAAAATGTGACTTTGAGTAAACCTCCATGAAAGTATTTATATATTGTAAAGAAATAGTAATATGAACTAAGGAGATAATATGATTGAAGATGACTGTTTAAAGAAGAAAAACAACTACAAAGCATATATACATGATGCCAAATAATAGCTAATAACAATGTCAATAGAAAAATTTACTTATCAATTATTATATCTGGCAACCTCAAAACTATACAACTTAAACATTATATATATAATTTGTGTATACATTGATATACTACCATCAGAAAATATATAAATACTCAAATTTATAAACAGGTACTCTGAGAACCAGTAATAATAATAATAATATTTAATTATGCTCATTCAATCCTAAAAGCAGCTTTGTGAGGAAGATATTAACTATCTCTATAATTTAGATGAGAAAAGAGCAGCTCAAAGAGAATATAAGAAAGTATATACTTTACTCTCTTCATCTGACATTGAAAGTTAATCGCATGGTAACTACTACTGCAGGTGTTATCACACATTTGGAAGTAGTGAGAAAA